ACTTTTGAATTTGAATTTCAGCAAATGGTAAACTTCCGATTTTTGCAACGTTAATTATGTTCACAACAATGCATAGTACAACGTTTCAAAGCCTTTCTGAATTGTATTTTACAACAAAGGGTAAATCTTGCTGTTCTTGTTAAATATACTGCAGTTTTGTAAATTAATTTCTGTTAAGTATACAAAATTTACAAAACTTTTGTATTTGGACCTACATGCAAAAGGTTGACACGGTAAATTTAATTTTGTATAAAATAATGCACAGTAAAAGGTTTCAGCGTTCTATTATATAAATTTTAATAAACTTTTGAATTAGATTTCTAGTAAATGATAAACACTGCCCAATTTTGTTCTCAATAATGCAATACTACTTTAATGTATCTAATTTATTTAACAAAATTATTGCTGCTTTGGTAAAATTTTTTTAAACTTTTAAATACAGATTTTAAAAAATGATAAACCACGCTGCTTTAACCAATTTTATTCAAAATAGCAAGTTTAATATTTTTTGACTATTATAAAAATTTTACTGAACTTTTCAATGGGATTTACAGCAAATGGTGAAACTTTATCAAACTTTCGAATTTGGATTTCCATCAAATGGCAAACATTGAAGTTTTGTAAATTTAGTTTTGTTCAAAATGATGCAAAGTATAACGTTTCAATAATGCATTTCGATTTTATTGCATAAACGTTTGGGTTTACCGCAAATTAAAATATCTTTTACTAAACTTTTGAACTAAAATTTTAGGAAATGGCATGCATTGATGCTTTTGTGAATTTAATTTTGTTCAAAATAATACAAAGTACAATGTCCCAATATATTTTGATTCTGTCATAATATTTTACTAAACTTTCGAACCAATATTCACCTAGCAAATGGCAACTTTAATGTTCTCGTCGTGGAGGGACGACATTTTTTGTACACCTCGAAGGTACGAATGACAAAAATCGTCAGGCTCGTTGCCGAACGTAGGCTGCCCCTCGCGTCTCGCCCCCGTACCCACCGAGGCATAATAGAAACGCCGCCCGCGGCCGAAATTAGCCCTCCCCCCGTACAACCTCCGTATTATTGTTCCGAAGTTATTATTTGCTAAATATAATATTCAGGCGAAACAGTTGAACGTTCTTAATGGGTAGACAAGGGAAATATCTTGTAATCTGCGGGGATCAATCCGAAAGTTGGGGCCCCGCGGGGCCAGAAGTCTTGGGCGTCCGCCCTTGTGATTGACAGGCCCTCTGCCGCCGCGACCCAACCATCCGCTGCAGGCCCGGATCATTTACGCATTTATTTCAGATCGGATCCTGCAACTGATCGATTCCGTTTCACTCCTATCTGGTGCCTAATTTGAGTTTCAGTCGTTATAGGCAGTAATTTGTTTTTTGAAGCCCATTTCCGCGAACGCATGAGGGATCACAAGAAATAACCAAGAAGAAAACGATTTTTTAACTGATCTTTAGTGCAGTGTCATTTGATATTTTATTAACCTACGACGAATGTCAACAAAACGTTGCAGGGGCATCGCATCGTTATGCAGAACGTTTAAGGTCTGTTTCATATTAGAATTGAATCATCGATATTATTTAAAATAAAATAAAATTCAAATCATAACTATACGCCCATTGCTCTTCATCTAAGTTGGCTGAGATCGTTGCATTTTATTTTTACAATTATATTTCCATGTCCATAAACAAATGATTGTTACTCTATCATCATGGCTTTATGGAAAAGCATAAAAAATAATGAATTTAAACTTAATCACACAAACTATATTTCAAGTTATTGGCAGGCAAATGAGCTGTAGGTATATGGATTTTTCACCATCTTCGATATTGTTAACTATACTACAATATTTATTATCTATATTAGCTGAATTTGGATGGATTATCAGATAATCTACTACTCTTTAAAAGGTTTTTGAAAGGCTGACCTTATTATATTGGGATGTTACCTGCCGAATCAGGTGTGCCCCAGGGGTTTAATTTGAGACTCCTATTATTTTAGGTATTTTTTAGTGATTTAAAAATTATTAAATGTAATAATGATGATTTAAAAATTTATTCTAGGACTGAAAATGTGAGCAACTGTGAGTTCTAACAATCTCAATATACTTTTAGTTTAGTTTTTAGTGGTTAAAAGAATATAAGTTGAAATTGAACATAGTAACGTCTTCTTCTTTTTCTAAAGTCTACGAAGTTAGATAGCTTTGCACTTTTAGCTCAAAATTATGTTTGGAGCATATCCAAATTGCTAAGACTAAATCATCCTAACTTATTGGTTTTATTGTAAAATAAAATTATTATATTCTAATATTAACGCATTAAAAATGCTTTTCTTTTCCCCAGTGCATTCTAAGCTAGCATTTGGTATTCTGTTTATGAGATTTATTGTTAGGATGGGTTTAAAGAAAATTATTGAAATACTTATCTTTCAAAAGCAATGATGTAACTAGGCTTGCAATCATGAACTCCTGGTTTCTAGATTCGGTGTCATTAAAGCTGACACAAATTACGAATTGTATCTTATTTTTTATAGAATCTAGAATCTTCATCTCAGTTGCGCGAAGCATTTGCAGAGTCACCACTGAAGATGGCGACAGTGAAGAACGTCGAAACGTTTGAAAGCATTGGATGCAACCTATAGCAAAGGTGACTACGACCACCACAGCGCAGGCCTAGGTGTTCTAATAGTGGGTCCGCCCCCACAGAGCCTAGTCCGAGAATAACAAAGGTAGTTCAAAGATTACTAGATAAGGCTAAGGATGTGAAAGGTAATTATGTAACTGGCAGCGACCAGGCATAATAACCCGAAGAACCATCGGACTATAAACGAATCTAGCTACTGACAGACTAAGAGCACTGGTGTTTACTTGTAAAGGACAAAAACATTTACTGTGAATCATTTTAAAAATCCCAAATGGAACTTTTTTCGAGTAAACAACAAATTCCAGGCAATACCAGAAGAATATCCGAACTGCTATAATAGTTTAATCTGTAAAATTGTGTTTTCTTGTAAAATCGCATTTTTACGGTGCTATCCCAAGAAGGCCGGCACCAAATTAGTTTTCACATGCCGATTTAGGAATAATTAAATTTACCAGTGGCTGTTAGCTAAAGATTTTGATTTACTACGCTGGTACTACAATGGGATACTATTTCAAGAGGTGCACGACGTTTCTCTTTCTTCTGTGAAGTGTGGGTAGACCGTATTGTTAAAGCTGGTCGGACCACAAAAAATCGATCAGAGGTAGCATGCAAAGAAATGCGAATTAACTGCGGTTACGTAAGCTCGGGAAGGTCTATAATATAACGGAACACGAACGACAAATTACAAAGGTGCACAAAAAAAAACTAAAGTGCGAAGATGTACGCATGCTAAAGAAAAAGATGCATGGTTGAGTTTTAAACAAGTCTGTAAACATTTTTTTGGGAATTAAGATCTCAAGGAAGTGGAAAAGCGATAATAAGGAAGATGGAACGTAAATATGTTAACTGACTATTTTTTAAATCTGAAACGGGATATACCGAAAACAAGAGATGAAAAAAAAAAAATAAAACGACTTTCTCTTCGCAGCTCATTTAAAAACAAAAGAGTGATATACTCTTATATTGGCTAAATTGAGCGATTTTTGGGCCCATTTTCACTTAGATTTTACGGGTTACTGTCCGGTCCTGCATAAATTTTGACTGATATCGTTTTCAGCTCATCAAAATACGTCGGCAATGATATGTCAGATCTTTGGATTTGAACTTTTTTGTGTGCCTGATATTTTATTAATTAAACTATAAATATTAAGAATCAAATTCTCACTAAGATAATAAGGAAGGGAGAAATTTGGGTGGCAATGAAACTATCACTGATATTGCTAGTGATACTAGTGATGACGAATATATTCCATATCACGTTGTAAAAAAGACAGGAACAATATCACAAAAAAAGTAAATGATGTTCGAGATTTGGGCCTGGCAGAGAATGAAGCAGAGTTCCTAATATCATGGCTAAAAAAAATACTAAGCAAGTCGGAAAAGTAAACCAGAGCTAATCGTGTCAAACAGACACCGGATTCAGATTCAGCGACCCTAAAACTATATGGATACCATGGTCTTGTCTTTCTGACATGCTACTTTCTTTTGTGGGTCTGTGTTATCGAGTGCAATTTGAGCACAATTTCACTCGTTTTCTTTATATAACACCACGTGCTTATAATATTTATATTATCTGCACTACAACATTCATGTCAGTTACCCAGTCAATTTTTCAAGCCGATAATTGCTTCAGGCCGACGTTATATCACGCTGTTAAAATAATTAACCAAAAACTATTTCATCTTTCTCCTCTCATTTATTATTTAGTCATGTTACAGATCTATTAAAACAATATTATACGAGAAATAATTATCTACGAAATACCCGTCGAGAAATTAGACGTTTTTAATTCAAGGATTGTAAAAGCGGCGATAAATCTTTCATTTAGATATACAAATTAAACTGCTTAAATATTCTGGCTAATTAAGACAAAGGAGGATTCTGTTGTGTTAACTGAGTAATCTATTTTAGAGCCGGTTCTAGCGTTTGTACTGCATTTGGAGCACCTTTTTATCTGTTATAGCCGACTTGATTTATCTCTGGGAAGACATTTGTCCTATTAATAATAACTGAATTGATCGAAAAAAGGATATATACTTGAAAATAATGCCATAGTATTTCATTAAATTACATAGGACAATATAAAAAAAAGTGGGGTGACCTGGACAACCCACTGGGCTACCTATACGTATTTTGACGCTTTGAATTCGTCCTTACTTTGGAGAAAAACTAACGACGATTCACAGCATCAAAATACGTATAGATAACCTTGTGTGGTTTTCAGGTCAGGTCACTTTTTTATGTTGTGTTTTTGTGTAATCAATAACGGAAACATTTTATAAAATACAGCGGATTTAAATTGAATCATACTCAAATGCATTTCTTGTATCACCATTTCCACTGTTCTGACTCACCGTTTATCATATTTATCTGTTCCGAAGCTCCTGCTGCTCTTAGGGCGTCTTCAAGTTGTGCTCTCCTGCTGGCTTCCAGTTCTAGTTGCTCCTGCAATCGCCTTCGGGCCCGTCTTTCTCGTCGAAGACGCTTTTGTACAAGTGCTGGAAAGAACAGAAAAATGAGTTGTGTTGGTATCCGGTTCCAGTGTGATTTGTGTTAAATTCTAATTAAGTTTTGAGTAGATTCCAAACAGAATTCGATACAAATTTAGTAAAAAGGTAGATTTTAAAAG